GTAAGACGAGGCGACTAGGATGGAGACACAGCTTCAGAGAGCCTCGCTACAGAGATACGTGGTAAGAAATTTGAATTTCAATACAACTGCACATCGGTGTTCCTATGAATTGTAGTGGTACGAACTTAGCTCGCTTGTGTATGCAGGCATCACAGTTGATAAGTCAGTCCAACGAAGCAGCCATGCGACTTCACGAAACCAAAGGGGAGCCACACGGCATTCTACACATCTTCGTCGATGTATATTCTATTCTCAAAGCCATGACAGTGGTTAAATGGTTCCCATGACTCATTCATCCATGTTTTTTTGTAGAAAGTGAGGAGGAGCTGCAAGAAGCTAGCACAGAAGCTTAGTTGCGTGGATACTCCATGGGAGATGCCCTATGACCCGGACCTGTCTAGTTCCTTACGCTCGAGCACTATGCTGACACGAGCAAGTTCCTCTGACACGACTGGTGGGACCTCTTATGTTCATACTCCGGCAATGTAGGCAAGGGTCTCATGGAGCACGACGCTGAGAAGGACGAGGACGAGGAGGAGGACTACGATGAGATTAGGATGTCTTAGCTTGGTAATGCACCATTTCCTACATGGTTCGGATTTAATAGGTACTTGAAACAACCATTCGCCATATATCGTCATAATTACTTGAACATTGTAAGTAACAATGCCTATATTGTAATTGCAGGTCCTAGTTACACTCAAAGAGTACTACCGGGTGTACCGCCGGTGAGACTGCATCGACATTGGGTTCAACCTAACGCTTTCGCTTCACATCTGAAGAGGCAGCGACGTCGGTGGTACCCATATACTCCTAGGTCGTAGGAGTTCTTTAGGATGGCATGTCGAGTAATGTCAAACTTATGTATTGATGAACTTGTGTTGTAGTTATGACTTGCTGAACTTATGCAGAACAGAGGTATTGTCGAACTTGCGATGAACTTGGGACGTGTATAAGTTAGTATTGCTGAACTTGTGTATTGATTGTCTCGTGCACTTAACCTTCCTGCTGACCTATTCGTTAAACCGACATGACGAAATAACTTGGCTGTGATAACATAACATAAGTGCCTTGTTTCATTTGCTGCCGCTTTGACCGCCGCACCATGTCTAGGGGCACCAAACTAAAAGGAATATGCGTGCCATGTCTCGTGGTAAAGTTTTATGAGATAACACAATGTCCATTATAAAAATTAAACAGTGTTTGTTACATGGGTACAATACATAAATAATTCAAATGAAACACAATGCAGCACCAAGAAAGTTCTACTATAATACAAATACCAAATCTAAAACATTAAACTAGCACACATGTACCAATCGTCAGTCTGAAACATACTGAGTAAGCAACTCGTCATCCTAGTATCAGTCCTCTACCACAACCTCGTTGTTGTGGCTAGGCTCACCTACATTGTCCTGATGTCGCCTGTAGTAAGCTGCCTCCGCTTCACCTGCGGCCTCTGCGGCCTGAGTCATGAACGCATCCTCCTCCGCCTAGCTCATGTGGCTAGGCTCACTTGCATTGCCTTGATCTATTTGTCGCCTGTACTAAGCGGCCTCCGCTTCATCTGCGGTCTCTGCGGCCTGAGTGAAGAACACGTCGTCATCCTCTTCCGCCTACAAGCCCGTCTCTGCTAGAGCGATGAGCTCGCCAGTCTGCCAGTGTTGTCTTCAGCCTCCTCCGCCTGCAAGCCCACCTCAGGAAGAGCGATGAGATCACTCAACTGGGTAGTGTTGTCCTCATCCTTGTCTCCATCATCGGCCAACACAATCGGAGATTAGACGGTGTGACCAGCTCACGTTCTGTACTCATCTAACTTCTTTTCCTCATACCTTGCATGGGCCACCTCTGCGGCATGGTCCTCGCTGCATCCAATCCTTTCATGTATAAAATGCAACCAGTTAGCAACGCGATTATATTACATTTAAAATCAGGCAACGGAAATAAAAAGGCTTTCAAGCACTCACTGGCACACAATGCAACAACATGGTCATTCAAGACCTGCATCTATACTCTTGTCTCCTCCCTTGCCTCCTTCCTTGCCCTCTCCTCCTCTAACGCCCTCCGTCTCTCCAATCCCTATTTGTCAAGCCCAACATCGATCGGGTTACGAATACCGCGATGTCTAGGAAACTCACGCATCTTGTTTTTGTGATATTTAACGAATAGGTTGACGTAGTCAGGTCCATATCTCCTCTTCCATGCAATTACTTGCCTCCCCTTCAGTTCATCCAAGAACTTAGCTTGACCATCATAACATTCCCACTTGCATTTCCTAGTGCTCTGTTCAAACGAAAAATTATATCATATATGTCTTAGCAAAAGAAACAAAATACGATTTTATGTTTACCATAAAAATAACCAATCTCATCATAGTCAACCATATGGCCGTAATAATGGCCTATTCCAAGCTCCGAATGGACTAGACCGTAGTTGGATTTAACACCACATTCGCACTTGACTGGAGGTGCTTTGTAAATTAACCTTTCTTTCTTCTTTTCCTTTGCCTTTGGTGGCTCCGGCCATTGATTCTTAGGACCGTAGAGCCACTCATTGAAATGACACTTCGCAAATCCATAACGCTACAAGAATACATTAGTACACGCACACATATAGAGATAAATATTTAAACAGATACACTTTCCACTTACTTCGTGTTTGTTCGGACACATAAACTCCAACATATTCTCAGGGTTATCACAGCTCGATCTCCGCATTCGCACAGAGGAGGTTCCTCGAGTCGTCTAACTGTGGCTAGGTGCTTCTCCTTAGCCGTCATTGGCGGGGGGTTAGGGGGTGGAACCCATCGCTGGAAGTGCTCATGTGGATGTCTCCCTCTACATCAATCGTCGAAAAGGAGGTACTTAGGGTCAAACTTGTCTGCAGTGTCGATCCACTAAAAGAAAAAGCACCTCTCATGGGCCTACACAACAAGATTCCAACAAAATATTAGTAGCCTACTTACACAAATGAAGAAAAAAGATAGTGGAAACAATTACTTACATTAAAACGACTGCTTGTGTAGAAGCAACGCGCCGCTGTGTCTGGATGTCTCGATTGAAACACGTCGGCAGGGAAACCACAGTCACAGTTAGGGACATGGAGGTCAGGAGGGACGGGGGCATCTTTGCTAGACGCGTCGGGGTATAATTCTCGAGGACGACCCCATTTTCGCCAAAACTCCTCCCGATACATTTCTTGCATCTAATAAAACGGTTGTAATTTAACAAATAAAAATCAAAACATCACAAATTAATGTCAATGAGAACCATTTGCATTACAACAAATAAAATATAACCTACACTTTGGTGCAAACTCTATCTTAGATGCAAACATGAAAACTATATAAAAACTATACTTTGGTCAGTAAAAAATAAAATTTGGTACATCAACAGTGTGTCCATATATTCATTCACATATAAAACTTGAGATGTAAACTCAAACAAGCAAAATTCTTATAAAAATTGACCTTAGAATACATGGTAATCATAATTCTAACTAACCAATTAACTTTAACATTGGCAATCCTAATCCTTCAATCCAACGTTCTAACGAACTCATATTTTTCTTCATACCCTAACTACTCATTCAAATCCTTCGATCCACCGTTGAGGCCGAGGAGGAGCTTCATTACCTTAACAAGGTCGAGGAGGAGCTTCGGGGAAGGTAGGGAGGGGGTGGCAAGGGAGGGTGCGACCAGTGGCTGCCGGCGGCGGGCGCTTGAAAGGGAAAGAAAAGAATGGAGAGAGAGAGCTGCGTCGCGGGCCTTTACTGGGGGCCTGCCACACCGTGCGCGATGGCGCGTCGGTGCCACGCCATGATCTGTGGCGCGGCAGAGCTGGGCCACGTCACCGGTCGCTGCCACGGTGGCAGCCTGGCCGCGCCGCCATGCATGGCGCGGTAGAGTGGTTTGACCGTGTCATGTCAGTTGGCGCGTCCAAAAGTGTTAGTTTTGGAAAAAAAAACAGTGTCAATTTTAAAAATAGTTTTAAAAAGGTGTTAAAAATAAATAAAAAAAATCACCATCCAAGGGTGATAACACAGGGTGAATAATGAACTTTTGAGTAGCAGTAATTTTTCAAAATCCTTCGCTCTTCTAGTATAGAATAGATAAGATTCTAGACCGGACCGTAGAACGAGTTGATAGGCACACATAAACACAAAGTACCTTTACAAGTAACATGCTAATTACTGTCATGCGTAATCCATCGCAATCGAGTATACCTTGTCATAATTATATCCTCTTCGTGTCCATCTGGGATCAAATTACCCGGAGGATTATTAATTAGCATGTCATGATTATTCTCTAGGTCTGTATTCTAGGCCTGTATGCTGTAAATGTTGTCCTGCTGATAGCATGATAGATACATGGCTTGCAACGAACTACGATATCTTCAGTCTTGCACGACGATGAACTACGATTTCTTTAGTCTTGCACGACAATGGCCAGAGCGGTGTGGGACATCGTTGGTACAACGACGCATGCATGACGATGACTTATTCTGGTTCGACATGGTGTAAATGTTGTCCTACTGATGGCATGGTAGCTTCATAGCTTGCAGCGAATTACGACGTCTAGTTTTACATCGTAATGACTAGAGCGGTGTGGGACATCGTTGCATCCGTTGGTAATAACGGCGTGAGCAAGATGGCTTATCACCTTGACAACGGCGATAGTGGTACAGCATGATAAACGACTAGGGGCGGTTGGTCCTTATGGTGTGGCCGTGGTTGTACACAAGTTTTTGAGAGAAATGGTATAGAACTATGAAGAGATGATGTTGTTTGGCATGTGTTGAGGCCTCAATCCATTCGGCCACCATGGTTAGTTGCTGATTGCTGCTGCCGCTGCTTGACCCTTTTAAGGTTATTGTTGCTCGGTTGTAGACTCAGCCCGGGTAACTTCTTCTTTTTAATATAATCAGCAGTTCTCTTGTCTGATTGTTTTTTTGATAGAAGATTCCAATCTCCTTTTTTTAACGAAGATGGTTTGAATCCTATCATGTCAGACGACCACTCAGTATAGCAGATGCTTGTGTCACGGCCCTGGCCACTCTGTAGACCTCATGCTGTACAAACTTCCACGACTCCGAAGTGTTGCTGCTCCGAGCGCTGGCTATTGCATTGGCTATACCGGGATAGATTGCAGTATCCCAGTCATTCTGATCTGAAGGTCCATACACCTATGGATGGGAACACTTACTGTTAGTATAACTATAAGCCGTGTGTACGAGCCTTATGCAATTTCCAGAGTGGAAGGTGAGTGCTTTGCGCATGAGTATCTGCTCACCAGATGCTTAAACCATTCTAGCTTGAAGATGCCTTCCCTACTAGTGAATGCTCGCTCGGTCTGCATAAGCCGGTCATTGAGCTGTCGGATTTTCAGTGAATCCTTGTTCAGCTGCTTGCTCAAGAGTTGCTTTTGAAGTTCCTGAAAGTGCCCATGTCTCTTAGTCATCACAGTGCACAAAACGCAGTATGGTAGACTGTAAGTTCTGCATAACTCGAGCAGCAATTCTCAAGTGAAAGTACCTTTTGTTCGCTATTCACTTTGGTAGCTGCCGCTCTGAGAGTTCTGATTGAGTTGTACAGTGGGGAACAAGTGACAGTTGTTCCCTTCACTTCCTTCTCTACCGTCTTTGTGTATTCCTGCCGCCGGAAGAAATTTAGGGCTTCGTCATGTTTCCATAGTAACAAGGATATCTATGTTAATTTTCCTTTGTTCCCTGTGTACGAGTGGCTCTACTGGCCTACAGAAGGTCAGAAGCAGCATTTAGTGAACACTGGAGTCGTCTTACCTCAAGCTCAATTGCATAGGACATGTAATTGAAGGGTAGGATCTCTTCATTTGCCAACCTCAAAGCCATCATTCCCCATATGCTAGCAGCTGCAAGATGAAGAATCTTGGTTACCATGTCGTGGTGGCGCAGATAACACCTCAACTAATATTTTGCACAAAAACAGTATCATTGAGCAGACCCGCCACATGCCTACGGAACCCAGGATCTCCGAATTTCGCCATCCATACGTAGCCATCATATAAGGAGTGGTAAACCGGATATCCTGGTCCTACAAAAGCAAAAGTGCCCAGGAAAGTTCATTGAAAAATACAAAAGTCACTGGGCAGGCAAATAGCAAAGAGCAGCGGCATTACCTTCACCAAAAATTATATTCATCGAAGGAATACCAACATGTTGGACGAATGCTGAATAGTCTGATCCTCCATCACCTAGTCTTAGAACCTTAATGCAGGAGATACGCAGTGAATAGTGAGTAATGTAATATAATTTGTCAGGAAGTAGAAGTGGTTTCCCGTCCTGAAACCACATAATTCTTGAGGGATGGAACTGAAACTCAAAGGAACTTGTAGCTCGATAACAATGCAATCACTATATAATAGTGACAACTAACTGGGTCCTCAGCACTACATAGAGGGTAGGCTGTTGGATAAGCAAGCTGCAACAACTCACCCGGGGAGGAATGCTTGATTTAATCCATGAATCATGCAGTCTGAGATGAATTATCAGGATCTTGAACCTTCACAAATTGACAAAGAGCAGTTAAAATTTTGGGCATCTTAACAAGGAAAACACTATATTCACATTGTTGACTACTAACATGGAGACCAAAAGCAAACAAATTTAACTATAGTATCATGTTTTCCCTCTTCCTGGGTATGCTATTATCACTAGTTTCAGCCTTTCAGGTAGGATGGACATACCACTTTAGTTACTTGCTGAAGTAACTCGTCGAGTTGGGGAGTTGTAGAAGGCAGGAATCCTGGACCAACGACTGAAACATCAATATTCAGATAAGCAACAGCTCTAGAATATAACATCTCCTGGTTTTCTTCAACCCATTCAGTAGATCCTGTCTGAGTAAATTAAATGCAAATATGATCAATCTTGCTGTTTTAAAGACGGACAAGAGTGGTTCAGATATAGAAACACACCAGTCCATATTCTTCCGCATCCCAACTACAGAAGATAATGGTTCTTCGAGGTCTCCACCCGTGCTTTTGCAGCATTGAAAACCTTTGAGCTAACTAGATGGACAAAGAGTGAAATAACATGTTATGAGCCAGATAAGTAGCAGATCGTGTATCATGTACAGTACAATATTGAGGTCAGGCATAGAAACATGAAATGGAACCAAGGTTCAGTCACTTCAGCAAACTATTCAGAGGACATGGCCTTTTAAAAAAAACGTACATGGGAGTTCTGCCTTTTAATTAAGAGGAAGCAGTTTTATGTACAAGACACGGTCAGAAGACCAGGGCCACAGATTTCCTCAAAAACAGAAGGGGAGGGGTTAAAGCCCTAGCAACAAGCGAAGACCAAGGCAAGGCACCTAGCGCTAGGTATTAAACGAGGACATGGCTAGTACCTGCTCTAAACTACTGTAATCAGTATTCTGGCGTAGTAGATCAACAAAAACAAAGCGTAGTAGCGTACTAAAGTATACAGAAGACATTTTGTAACTGACGACTACCTCAATCATAGCTGCTGTTCCACTGTTGGGATCGGATGCACCAAACGTCCAAGCATCACGATGGTTACCAAGAATGACATATCTGGATCACAGAATGTTAAAAATTCTCAGTTCAGTCACATATTTGGCAGAAAAAAATATAATATTCAATGTGGTTAAATTGTGCCAACGCCTATATGCAGATAAGCAGATTGATACTCTTCAATATTTGTTTAAACTGTGAGTACCTCAGAGGCTAGGACTGAGTCTAATTGTTTGTTTTTGTTCATTAACAAAAAGTTTGCTTTCGAGGAAATCCTTTTACAGTCATGAGAGGCTGAGAGATACTACAAGAGCTACCCATCTAAAATGAGCCTTCAGTGAAAGAGTTTCCAATAAATTAAAAGAACAAAAGAGCTTGACCTTATGCATCTGGTTCTTAATCGTGCTTAGCTATTTTTTTTCTCTTGAAGGAAAGATTTTCATAGCTACTGTACATTACAAGGAAGGCCAACAAATGGCCATCCCAAGCCAACCTGAACATGTATGAAAAGTCGGAGTGGTTGAATTACATAGTAGATGTCTTTTCCAAAATAATGATGTACCTGCAGAACTTTCCGATCTGCAAGTGGGCCCTATCCTCTATAGGATATGCTAACAGGTTTAAAAGATTAAGGAGTATACATGATTATAGAATTTTGTAGTACCACGCGTCCACGCCGTGCACACCTTGATAGGACATCTTTTTTTCTTCTATATACAATAAACTACTTATTAGATCTCTTAAATCATTATCTAATAGGAAGGAAATTTCGTGGACACCGGGTCATATAATTTAATTTTTTTTCTTGGCAAGTTTAAAAGAGTTATCAGATACTTCCATTTTTTTTTATCTTTGTATAACAACGAGTTAAATGCATGAGCAGTCCGCAAACTTGTCAAGGATGCCACTTAGTAGGTTCATAAACTTTGAAAATACATTTCTAGTCTCTAAATTTGTTAAGTTATGCACCGCAGTGGTCGCTATGGTCCATAGACTTACCATGTACCATTTTACAAGTTCATTAGGATGTGTGGTACATCACTTTTACAGACTCAGAAATACATTTTCAAAGTTCGTAGATCTAAATGATACCTCTTTATAAGTTTAGAGGCCGCTCTTTAACCTTCTATAATCTATATATAAGGTCAACGACAGCACAACAAAAGTAGTGCTCTCAACTGCCCAGGTGGGCTGCGTGAACTTCACAGGTTTGACAAAACAGAAAGATGCAACGTCACCTTCCACCAAGAATTTGTTACCTAATAATAACAAGATAAAAAAAGGAATTAGTTACCTATCGGGCTCTTCGGCGCCTTCGATAATGGTAAAGACATTCTCAATCGTTGCCATCGTATCATTCCCCTGCAAAATCCAAAACAATAGCGTCAAGCCCCAAGGCAATGAACCGAAAAGACGAAAGGTGCCTCGAATCGAATTGTACATACAAGATACGTTAGGTTCAAAACTGCCGGCCCGGGGACGAGGCGGTACACGGGGCCGCCCTCTCGGCCCTGCCAGTCCGCCGGCGCCACGGCCCCGCCCACGGCTCTGTGTATCTCCATCGCGTCCTGAGCCGACACCGGCAGCGCCGGGATGAGCGGCATGTCATCGGTGTTCATGGCCTCCTCCACGCTGACGCGCTCGCAGCCCTCGGACGACGCCCACATCGGCGTCGTCGGGTCGCCCACGCCCCGGAACAGGCTCCCCACCTGCACGCCGCTGGGCGGCAGCCAGCGCGAGTCGGGGAACCACCGCTCACCGGGTGCGCCGCCGTACTCCAGCGGATCAGTGTACACCACCGCGGCCGCGCGGCGCTGCGGCGGCGCGCGCGTTGTGCGCGATGTCCTCGCAGTGGATCCTCCCGTACCGCGCGAGCGTGACCTTACCCGCGACGTCCACACCGCGGGAGGCGAGGTAGGCGAAGTCCTCCTCGCGGCCGTAGTTGGCGTACACGGCCTCCGCCGAGACCGACCCGGAGGCCGCGTACGCGTAGAACGTCGGGATGGTCTCCGCCGCTGCGGTTGCGTAGGGGTCGTTGGGGTAGGTCTCCTGCTTTAGGGAGAAGGAGGTGACGACGCCGCGGCCTGGCGCCGAAAGGGAGAGGGAGCGGTGGACGGGGTAGGAGAGGAGGACGGAGTAAGGCGTGATGTGGGCGGGGAAGGAGAGCGCGTCGAGCACGTAGCGGGCGGTGAGGGCGTTGGCCTTGGTCCCCGCGACGTGCGGGTGGAGAGTGAGCGCTCGTAGGTGCGAGGCGGCGGTGTCGTTGGATCCGAGGGAGAGGAAGAGCGCCTCGTAGTTCGGGACCGGGTTGGGCGCGGGCTGGAGCGCGAAGAAGAGGAGCACCGCGAGGGAGGCGCCGAGGACGGCGAGCATGGGCGAGAGGAGGCAGAGGAAACGGCCGCGCGGGTGGGGTTTTGCCAGCGGCGGCGAGGGGGCGAGGAGCGAGGCCGTGTCGGGGCGGGACATGGCGCCGGAGCTGGTGGGTGGTGTGCTCTGCTGTGGCGAGCGGCGGGTGCTCAGGTAGCGGGGTTTAAGACCGACTCCAAAGAAGAGCACCAAAAGCGAGACGCATGGCCGGTTTTACCTCGCGCACAGTGAAAGGGTCAGTAACCCGTAAACTTCCTTCTCTAACCGTCGGGTGCAACAGAGCGTCCTCTTCCTCTCGCAAGCGCTGCCGCCTCTTCCCTTCCTCCTCTCGCAGGCCTGAGCGGGCGCGATGGAGCCAGAGGCAAGAGATTACGTCTCCTCCTCCCACGGTCGTCTTCTCCAGGCCGCCGCGGCGAGCTCCCTCCCTTCCTCCTCTCCCGGCGAGCTCCGTCCCGGCGACGGTCATCCCCAAGCTCCACCCCGGCTCCGGTCGTTCCCGAGCTCGTGGTGGTGGGACCTGCCTGCGTGGAGGAGACGCAAAGGGAACGAGAGAGGACGCAAGTTTGCGTACCGTGTTTCGTCGGACGTAAAATGGCTGCTGTGGACTCCGTTGGAGGATGATTTTTCCCCGCAAAAGCACTGTGCACTACGCAAAATGCGGATGGGTCACGGTTTGTGTTGGAGACGGTCTAAGCGGCGGGTGCTGTTCCCTCCGCGCACGCCGGACAGGAATTCACTCCGCTGGACTGTTGCTGTCAAGCCAACGCTGGAGAATATGCAAATCGCGGTACCTTCTTCTTTTGAAAAGGAAATCGCCGTAGATTGGATGCAGAGGATCCGTCCGCGTTCGTGCTCCACGGTTTTCGCTTTTACTCCGTACACATTGTGAGCAGTGAGCGTGCTCCGTTCCCGGTTGCAGTTACACTGACCGGATGCTTGTGGTTTGTTGTGAAGCAGGTGTCATAGTGGTACGTGGTGCTACCACTACGTCTGTTGACCGTTGACCCTGTTTAAAAGGCGATTTAGGCCTCGTGACATGTTAGGTCAGTCTGATTGAAAATTTCATGAGTTACACATAGGTGTTTTCGATGACAGCATCGTTTCAAGGAAGAGAGGAGTGAGTTTATTTAAATGAAACTCTCTTAGCACGATTACCAACTCTATATAAGTCATGAAATTAAATGTCTATGTTTTATTCATTTTTTATTTCATTTTACATGATGTGGTAGTTTGAGAAACAACGTCATAAAACTCTTCAATGAAAAATAACCTTAGTGTGCAGTTTCTTTTCCAAGATAAAATCAATTCTATAGCATTTAAAGATCATCGCTTTTAAGTATCATCGCAGAACCTCCTTTTCGTAAAGAGTCAATGTTTTAAATCCCTGGGCTAAACCATTTAGAAATGGCTTCCTCTGAAAGCTATAACGAAAACTATTCCATTTAGAGGTTCTATAAAAAAACATAAAAATATTTAATTTGTCATTGCATAAACATAAAGCTAAGAAAAATTCATACACGCAAATAATCAAATTTATGTCCCGGGCTCTCAAATAACATGTCTTTAGGTCAATTACTTGACAACCATTTAATCAACCAATATACTCGCAGGTTATAGCTACAATCAATATTCATATTCATTCAAGAGTTAAATGCACCGACGGCCCTCGAACTTGTATGTCCGTGCCACATAGATCCATGAACTTAGAAAATATATTTCTAGGTCCCTAAACTTGTTAAACGGTGTACCACAGGCCCAGCCATATGGATATTTTTTTTCTGACGTGGCACGCTAGCATAGTATGTATTTTTCAATTAACCCTTTAGTTATCCTTATTAAAAATAGATCCTTCTTTCTCTCTCACCGTCCCGCTTGCTGGAGCACGCTGTTGAGACCGTGGCCGCAAGCTACTCCACGGTCCACGCCCCTCGGCCAAGCCTCCCAACACCGCAGTTGCTGCGCTAGCTCCTCCGCTGCCGGCTGGAGCACGGCCGCCGCCGCTGGTCATGTCACCTGCCGCCGGTCGCCGACGCAGGGGCCGGGCGGGGCTGGCCGCCACCCACGGGCACGGAGGTCACGCGAGGGTGGCCGTGGGCACTCGGTCGCGGAGGACGCGTAGGGCTGCAGCTAGGAGGTTGCGCGGGCTGCCTACCGCGAGCGCGAGCGTGGTCACAGGGCGCTAGGGCCACTGGCCGCAGGGCGCAGGGCACACCACGTGCAGTCAGTCGGGCACGCGGGCTGTACGACCGGCTTGGCGCACGGACACCGCTGGTGCACGCCTGGCGCGTAGGTAGAGTAGAGCACCGGCCAAGGCGAGGAGATGGAGCGCGTGCTAAACAAGCAAATCGACTTCGTCTCATGGTAAGAACATCGTCGACGGATGAAAAACCATGATATCTTATGGCTTCAGCGATGAATCCCCATAGTAATCAGCGGTGTTGCAGCGAGGGTGGACGAACGATCTGGATGTAGCCATGCTTCCATCGTGGGCGAGACAAGATGCATGGCCTCTGGAGTCTTGCCAGCTAGCTAGCTTCTTGCATGCATTCGAAGGGCGGGAGGTTCTGCTTGGTTGATTCGGTCCCTGAGGACGCTGTAGAGCTCGACTAGGCGGGCATCGAAGCAGAGGCTGCGTGTGGCAGTGGCATCGTGGCTGCAACCGTGGTGACAGCGACCGGTTCACCTGCTCCGCCATCTCGGCGAAGGGGAGCACATCGGAATGTAGTGCGGAACCGTGTGCGCTCACCATTGTCAGCGACGACCCCCACCGGCACGCCCGCCAGCTCCCGCAGGGACGCGTCAGGGCCTGCACCAGCAGCGTCGAGGTCCATGAGGCGGCCACCAGGCTTGGCGTGGCCCAGGCGGAGGTCCCCCATCAGGTCGTAGCCGCACCCGAGTACCCGACCGTGGCCACGCCCGCCTCCGCCGTGTGCTGCGCGGTCATGTGCGCGCACACGAGAGCCCCGCGATCGCCTCGTCCGTCTGTCCGCCGCCCGCGCCCCGCTGCTGCGTGGGTTATAACAGACGGAGCCGCAAGGGGAAGGCCGACCCGAGCTCCTCCACGCGTGGCCTCGGGTGCGTGGCCGCCGACGTCGTGGACGCCACGCGAGAGGTGGGGAGCGAGGCCATCAGGCAGGGCCTCCGTCGTCCTTGTGAGTGTGTTCCCCCATGGCCGCCCCGGTGCTCGACATTATGCCGCTTCAGCCCCTAGCACCGCCACGCACGCCCCGATGATGCGGGGATCCTCGACGTTCGATCTACAGCTCCACGCAGGTTGCTGCGTGTTCTCTTCCCGCAGCAACCAATCATGCGGGCGAGATGGTTGCATGGCGATAGGTAGACAGGGGCTTCGGAGGAGGACGCGACGGCGGTGCCGTACGTCGACGTGCCTCGCCCGGGCAGGAAGTGGGAGCGGAAGCCGTACGTGACGCCGATGCAGAACACGGCGACATTGCCTCGACCGAGATGAGGTGGCCCTTCCCCTGCCACTCCAGTCTGGCACCGGCGATGCAGAACATGACAACGGCCTTGGTTGGCGAGGTGGGCACGGCGACCGCGAGCGACATGCGGCAGGAGGCGTTGTATGCCATGGTGAGGTGGGCGACGGCGGGCGCGAGCGATATGCGGTAGGAGGCGCTGTATGCCATCGTGAGGTGGGCGACGGCGATTGCGAGCAACACACGGCCACGGTCTCGGCAGCGCGTTGCTCTAGCAAGCAGGACGGTGAGAGAGAAGGGTCTATTTTTAATAAGGATAACTAATGTGAGAGGTTAATTAAAAAATACATGCCATGCTAGCATGCCACGTCAGCAAAAAAATATCCATGTGGCTGCCATGGGCCTGCGGTGCACCGCTTAACAAGTTTAGGGACCCGAAAATGCAGTTTAGGGACCCGAAAATGCATTTTTCAAGTTCATGGACCTACGTGGCACAGACATACAAGTTCGGGGGCCGCTGGTGCATTTAACTCTTCATTCAACATCCAACAATAAAAAAACTCAATAACAATTCAATAATTCATTGCATTATTTATTATAAGTAAAGAACACAAGGGAGAGACAGAGATTTGAGTACTCTAGAGCAAAGAATGAATATTCGCTTCTCTTAGGATTATATGAGCTATAGTGGTAGGCCTTAAAAAAGCTATAGCGGAGCTAGTGGGCTATTTAAAACCACGTAAAGAGTAACTTGTGTGAATCGACCATACAACAATGTGGATGCAAATTGGTCCAAAAACTTGTAAACTACTCAAATAAATGAAATACTCAGCAAATCGGTGCATAAATGGTCCAAACATTGCTAATGTGGTAAATGTACTCGCCAATTTGACGATAGGATTAATAATGATATAGCAAGCTAAAAGTCCCGTTTGGATTTTGATAATTAACGATAACATTTGTAGACTAATCACTAATGTTTTCATGTAAGATGAAAGGTTAAGTATAGTCCACAATACAAGACTCGAGCTACATGAAGGCCATGAAGATGAGATGGCACGAATCATGATGCAAAACAGAGTGAAGAAAGAAAGCGAGAGCATGAAAACAAGTCAAGGCAAAGGTCCCATCCTTCCGAGTTTCCGGTTTGTTTGAGGTTTTCCATTGCGAGGTGCTGACGTGGGGAACGATAATATTTTTTTAAGCACGTGAGCACATGCTACATAAATTGATAGCATAAAGGAAACAGAAACCTTATTAAAAAAAAAGGAAACGGGATCAGCAAGCTAACAGGCAGGTGGCAGCCAGATGTTTCCGGTTTGTGTGCTTGGTTATCCAGCTGCCAGTCAGACACAGTGAAAATGCACAGGAGAGCTAGTGATTCTATACAAAATTATTGGGTCGACTTGCACATGTTGCCTTCGGAATCTTTTGCGTGCAACCTACCTCTTCATCAATTCTAGACAGATAGCGACCCTCCGTCTACCTCTGCATCTACTCTACTATCATTAAGCCAGCTTGCTTTGGCTGCCAGAAACACCGTCCACGTCACCCCAAAATCTCCCGACCGTCCGATCTCCCGTCGAGCGGCCCAGATTTCTTGATCAGATATCGCCGGAAGCGGCTTCTCCCGCTTCTCGCTCGCTTTCTCCGACCTCTCCT